GCGATCCCAAAAATCAAGTCCTTTTTCTTCCCTCAGGGCAAATCCTGCCCCGCCCCGCCCCCCGCTCCGCCCCGGATCAAACCAAACCGAATCTCAGCGGTTTCTAGCGCCACCCGAAAGGCAAGAAAGTTCAAGGGGAGGAAAAAGTGTCGCTAAACAGACCTGTTCTGGCATCAGGACCTGCCTCACCGGCCTCCGGAGGGCACAGAACCCAATTAGTGTCAGCCAGCCTTCCGGAGCGTCAACGGCCAAAAAACCGTTAAAACTCTATAGCTCCACAAACGGTCCTCCCACCGGAAGTCGGGCCCGACCACGTGACACGCCCGCCTCGAGGACCCCGGAAGCTCCGGAACTACACGCGCACTAGCGAGCACGCGGCACTCTTTTTCCCATACACGCGGCTCTTAGCCAATCCGGCGGGCGCCTGCGCAATGGTTGGAGGGGAGAAAGGAACGTTGCTAGGGAGACAGCCAAGGGGAGGGGCTTTGTTTCCCATTGCGCAGCCGGCAGTGCCCGCCTCCGAGCGTCTGTAGCTGGGCGTTCGAGTTCAGATTTCCGCTCGCAAAAGCTAGTGGGATTGGGACCCGGCGCTAGAGCCTAGCGGCGAGCCTCCCAACGCTGAGAAGTGTTTCTGCGGCTGCGCAGGGGCGCCGGCGCACGGGCGCGCGATTCTTCCAGCGCCGGAGACGCTTCGTAGAGAAGGCTCGGCAGGGTGAGGCTGCTGAGCGCCTGTCCTCTCCACTGTCATTGGTTGTTTTTTTGGAAAATTTTGTTTTTTTAAATGTAACTCTATCTCTCGCCCTCCCGTCACAGACGTCGACTTTGGCTCTATCCTAGGCATGCGCGTCATTGCTGGAGTTCTAAGGAGGGGGTATGGGGCCTTAGTTGTAGAGCTTTGGTACAAACAGGGAAAGTTATTTTTAAAAAGTTGTTACCTCATGGGCAGGTAACACAGACCCTGGAGCCAGATTTACCGGGGTTAACTCCGGCCCCAACATTTAGTCCCTCCATGGCTTTGGACAAGTCAGGTAACACAGCTCTGTGCTTGCGTTTCCCCATCCGTTAAATGGGCACAATGTGGGGAGTACATGAGTTTGAGTAAGCAAAGCACTTAGAACACTATCTGGCACATAAATTTGCTACGTAAGGGTACATGACATTATTTAGTGGCATATTGTCATGTATATCGAGGCTGCCCATCTTTGGAAGGAGGCACAGTCTGAGTAATTCTCAGAAGCAAAGCAGGTGAGAATTTTAAAGTAAAGACATAAATCTTTTCCTGGCTCACAGAGGAGCTACAAGGAAAGTATAGTAGATATTGGAAATTTATTCTTTCTCCTCTCAAATACAAAACGAGATTAGAGAGGCGCCTGGCTGGCTCAGTCAGTAGAGCTTGTGTGATCTCGGGGTTGTGAGTTGGAGCCCCCATGTTGGATGTTGAGAGTACTTTTAAAAAAATCTAAAAAAAACACACGAACCCAAAACCCAAAATGAGATTGGAGCTCATTATACACTATTTATTACTTTTTTTTCTCATGCTTTTGCTATCGCAGTTCCCTTCCTTTATGTCCAGTTCCCTATAAAACACTTGCTGTTTGTGAAACCCCAAGAATGCAGTTACATAATCCAAGAGAAAGTGGTTGTTTAATTGCAGTCACGTTTATTTGCAGTTTCTATACACACTTTCTAGGTAATCAAACTTTTCTGGTACATTTTTTTTTGAGAGGGGTTCACAATGAAACTGTCACCATTTTTACTAAAAATAAATACAAGACTTAAAGTGTTGCGCAGCTCTAAAATATACAAAGGCTTGAATTGAATGTAAACGTTGAAAACATCTTACAAAAGAAACCATTTCTGCAACAATTTAAAAAGTTCATATTTACAAATATTACAAAAATACAAAATGGATGCAAGTCCATAAACCATTGTCTTTTTGGCCAGCATGAACTGGTTCTAGTACCAAAATAGTTACACTGTAACCTTCTTTAAACCTTTGTCATGATCTAGTTCTCTAAGTCTGCCATCACTGCAGCAAATGTACTCACTCACTGACCTTTGGCAAGAGCAAACAGCGTGTTTTGTTTGCTACAACTAGTCCATGTCCTCTACTTAGCCAAAAAAAAAAAAAACCCAAAAAACAAAAACAAAAAGAACCCAAAAACCAAAACCAAAAAAACACCCCAAACACAAAAAACCAAAAAGTAAGGAAAAAAAATTTTCCCCACACAACATAGACATGTTGTGTAAACATAAAAGAACAAAAAATTAGCATCAGTGCAAACAACAGAAGAAAAGTTTGGATTGATGTTTTCTACAATACCTAATGTGTGTACCCTGCTTCAAAACGGTAGTGATGTTGAAGACAGCCCTCTAATTCTTGGTCTTATATGCTATGTAATAAAGCCATGTAGAATATTCCAGATTACTAAAGAATTCCTTTTTTTTTTTTTAACTCAGTTTGTTACTCAGTACTCTTAACACAGTGAATTTAAAATCCATCATTATTTGGGTTTTTTTTTAATCTATGAAATATAAAATAGAGAAACTCTGCTATAGATTTTTAGAGTAAACAAAATAAGTAAAACTATATTATAAGGGTTAGTTCTGTGATCATTACATATAGAAGGAATCTTATTGCCTCACAATTCAAGTCAGTATGTATTTTAAAAAATATATGGTATCATTACTTAAATTGATGTCAATAATAAAAAGGTGACATATTTATTAAAGCCAATTAATGGGTTTCCTATTCAAGATTTAGAATCACTTTTAAAGCCCACATACCTTTCTTTACACTTAAAAAACCCCTAACTACACAAAAGCCATACTGCAAACGAACTGCTTTTATGAAAATTACAAAAGATCACCTATTGGGACTGGAAATGACGGTGTCTTAGCGCATTTGTCTAAAAACTTTATTTTTAAAATTTTGCCAAGTGTACTTTTCAAAGCATGAGAAAAAGTTATTCATGTTCCCAGGTGGTGTCAAACCATGCTGGTTTTCTTGACTAATGGGTTCCAATGAGAAATGATGGTCCATTTTTTTTCAAACCCCCAAACATTTTTCTTTTAATAAAAAGTATAACACTTTATACACGTTCAAATGTACCCTTTACCAAGTAGCTTATCTATCCCAGCGCAAGCACCCACATCCACACACACACCCACACACACATTCTCCCTCCTCTACCCCGCCACCCGCAGTACCCATTTTACATACAAAGATGACAAGAAATTAAGAAATACAATTTGATAGTGAAAGCAAATAGTAGAAGAAGACAGACATTTTTTTCTTTACAAACAAAAGCCAACAGCAATCAGATTCTCTAATTCTCAATCTATAACATCTTAGAAAGTGTTTCTATTGAAAGACAGCATCCTCTTAGACCAGGCTTTCTCCTTCATGTTGTATGAATCAAACCAAAGCCACAAACCCCCTTTCACACATCCTGCTTTCCCAAATACCACTTGCATAAACTTAAAGCCAGTTGCTTATCAATTTCTTGGTAACTCTGCTCTGTTCTAGCATTCTAATCACATTCTATTCTTTTATAGGCCATATCCCTTCTTAGTTCTCTTTACTTTCTACCTTGTCCCATTCAAAACATATTCTAAGTACATAGCTGCTTATATTTCGGACATATTTCAAACATTAGTATTCACGTTAAAATCAGAGGTGTAAGAACCATTGGCAGATTTCAACTTGTAACTACTTTTTTTTTCAGTTTTAAGACAAGAAAATTCAAGTAATTTCAAGTAATTCAGCTTGTTTCCCTGCCTTCATTTTATCAGAGCACTTGCCCTGACATTTCCTTTCCCACCCACCACCCTCCCCTTTTGCCACCAAGCAGATATAGTAAAATCAGACAAAAACTCATTTGTATGTAGCATTGTGACCCAGAGCTGTTCCCCATTCCCAGTTTAACAGTGACTATAAATAATGCATATACACATACCTATTTCCCAACTATATTGTTCACAGTGTCATTTCTGTTACTTTTTAGGTAGCATGAATCTCATCAGCACAGAGAGAAAGCTTCACTGAAAACTCATTGCAGGTACTTACTGATAAATCAATAGCTCTGTGGCATGCTTATGTTTTATTTTTGTTAGTTAAAGAACCTGGAGCTAATTGCTAAACTGTTTAAGGAGTTTATGACTGTTTACGTCCCCAGTAGCCCTAATATAAAACATAACCTAAAATTAACTATTGGTTTCCCTATTCATTCTCTTTAAAGCAATCCATTGAAAACTTAAAAGTCTAAAAGACACTGTCAAATGTTGTTCTTCAGGGCTTTTTGTTGAGAATGATGATTTTTCTCATTGATTAAAAAAAAAATCAAAAGCATGCTTTTCATTCTGTCCAAATTACCACATGGCAAATCATAGCCATGTGTTACTATTCGCTTGTTTGGTGCTGCAATTTGTCACAAAAATGGTGAGGTCTGAATTCATTATTTTAAATTAATCACATTTCAGTATATGACCTCAAGATTTTCTTTATTTCACCAGTTTAAAATTCATAATTGAGGTTTATCACTCAGAAAATCATATTGGTGGACATTTAAATATGGTATTTTATATGAAAATGGTATTCACAGAATACAATTATTACACTTTATTTGTTGTGTTCTATAAACAGTTGGTGTGTGGTAGATAATTGGCCACATGTCCACTCGTCATTGATAAATCTATTTACACATTTTTATCAAAAATATGGTATTTACATGTGTGTAGTTCTTTCTTCTGAATTTTGCTTTAGTTCATTTTAATATAAAAAAATACCAAACCTCCAGAGTAATTTCATCTTCTTAAGAATTATGACAGTGAGGGCTTTGTTTTCTGAATAGGCAGCTCTGGGAAAACTTTTTCTAGGTTTCATGAAAAGCAGACATTTTCAAATTCTATATTATCAAAAGGAAAGAGATTGGGTAAATCAAACTAAGCTAAAGAAAAATATGAAAGACAGTGCAGCTACTTAAAAATGTGGAAAATAAGAAAGACGATCTTCCATTTCCCCAGCAAATATTTAGGAAATCGTTGGTAAGCAGTGATGGTACCCCATGGTGTGCTGACTTCTCCCCAGTCCTCTGTTCTGTTCCTACATCCTCATATGACTAAGGGTTTTGGCCTTTGACAGCCAGCCTGGCCCGGGCCACCTATGTTGAGCTCTGGGAGGATCGGTCGTCATGTGGGCTCCCATCAGAATTTTCTGTCTCACCCTCAGAGATGGCCTGCATGGGCGCATTGTACAGCCTGCAGCGGACGCTGTAGCGACTGCTGCTGGCCGCAGGGGGCGCTCGGGAACGGCCAACCCTTGCCGATGCTGAGGTGGCAAAGTTCTTGGAGGAAAACCCTTCTGCGTTAACTCTTGGGGAGCATGGAGAGAGTGGGGACAATGCCTCGGCCCCAGGTGCCCCCTGATGGGCGTCATGGGTGCTTTGTGGGGACTCAGCGGTGAGCTCTGCAGGAGGTTTGGGCAGGATGGGACTCTTCAGGATCTCAGTAGCAGACATGCGGTAACTAGAATCCGAGCGACTTCCTTTCTTGAGGAGTAACAGCTTAAACTCTTCGTTCGATGTGTTGGACTTCTTGGCATTTCGGTAGATGAGGCCAGGAGACCTCTGGCTGTTTGGGGTGGTCACGTTGCTGTTGGGCAAAGTGACAGAACCGGCGCTGCTGCTGCTACTGCTGCCAAGAGAAGCCCTCGATTTGCTTCGAGTGGACATATCCCCAGAATCTTTTCTTCCAAGTACTTTCCTCTTGGACCTTTCAAGAAAAGGAAACATCTCAGTCCACAGACATTTTTATGAAACTCAAAGTGTTATGTCACATTCATGCATTGTCCTTAAAGAGCACTTGGGTGGACCCTATCTGACTGGATAGGAAGCATTAGGACATTGGAGGTGAGGAGTGAGATACATTCCTTGCCCTTCTAGCACTCACAGCCTGAGGGAAATTCTCCAGTAACCCGCGGCCTAAATTAGGTTCTGTAAATGACCAGCTCACATAATGACTAATGCGGAGGCTACAGCTTCTAGAGGAGGACTTACTGGGATGTTTTACAAGAGTCTGAGAAAATATTGCTGTCTGACTTCTGGTTAGAGTGTAGGCAGTGAAGGACTATAGCTTTCTCTTATTAAATCTGTCTCTGCATTACGGATAAAATGCTCTGATGTGTGGGGTTGGCTTTCGGTGAATACCAGAAGAGCAAAGTGGATAGAGGTGTGGATGGGACGGGATTAGCCATAGGTTGATGGTGGACAGGCGTGGGTGATGGATATGTGTGTCAGGGGGAGGTACGCTATACTGTTCTGTCAACTTTTTAAATTTCTCCATATAAAAAATTTCTTACATGACTTTTTAAATAAATCAACCCATTTTTTGCTGTAAAGACCATTTTCTGTAGCTGCTTAGTAACATCAGCTGTGTATCAGTCAGTAAGCCCACTTTCTGTGAGAAGCTAAAAACCTAGACTACCTCTGGAGCTCTTAAAGCTCTATATATTGTAAACTCTCAAGAAAACAAGGTAAAAAAAATCAAGTGTCATCCACAAAAAAAACAACAAGGTCATTCTTTGTCACTGTGCTGCACATAAATAAATCCTACACAAATGCAAATCTAAGATTACCAAGCTCTGTAAGTCTACCAAACGTAGGCATCTGTCATCATATTATTTCTTCTGGTAAGTAAATAGGTGTAAACTTAGTGAATCTTCAGCATGATTCAGTATGTTGATAAATATTGGCAACATGCTCTTTCACCAACCTAAAAATCCATAGGGTAGAGAAAATGTCAGCTTTGCAGTTGGGAGACCAGCCTCATTTTGGTTCACTGAAACCTTTGTGGTTGTTATGTCGCATGTGCCAGTGTCTGGCACTCCGATACGGTAGGAATTTCAAACTAACATTTGCTTTTAGCATCTACCATAGTCTAGACATGAAAATGTTATTTTAGCATCAAAATTGAATTTGTGAGCTATAGGTATCTCCACTAACAGGGAAGAGGTAGAGAGGTTTTAACTGACAAGACTGGATAAGAAGTGGCAGCACTGAGATTCAATTCCAGATGTTTCTGACTCCACTACTTATGTTCTGTCCACTACTCCAGATACTAACATTTGGTCCTTTGGGGTAAGAACTTGGCTCTTTAACTTATATAGCGTTTTAGTAACTTGTCCTAAGAGAAAGTGTGGTAAGGGAAATATAATCAGATCTTAGACTACACGCAGAGCAAAGAAAAAATGAACTGATTCTTCACTCTCTGAGTGGTGAGGTGTGCCGGCTGAGGTATATACACACAGAAGGTGTTTCTGATTGGGACTCCTTTAAAAAAAAGCTGTTGAGCTGTGCTCCTTCTTTATGAGAAAACCACATCAACAGAAAATGCAAGTTCCCTTTAAAAGTAGAATTTCAGGGGTACCTGGGTGGCTCAGTCATTTAAGCGTCTGCCTTTGGCTCAGGTGATGATCTCAGGGTCCTGGGATTGAGCCCTGTGTTGGGCTCCCCGCTCAGCAGGGGGTCTGCTTCTCCCTCTCCCTCTGCTGGAGCCTCCCTCCGCTTGTGCTCTCTCCCTCTCTTTCTCTCAAATAGATAAATAAATAAATCTAAAAAAAAAAAAGTAGAATTCCTGGAAAAATGGCAAGCTTCTTGAAAAAAAACTTGCTTCAAAAAGTATAACTTCAGGGGTGCCTGGGTGGCTCAGTTGGTTAACCGTCTGCCTTCAACTCAGGTCATAATCCCAAGGGTCCTAGGATCAAGCCCCACGTTGGGCTCCCTCCTCAGTGGGGAGTCTGCTTCTCCTTCTCCCTTTGCCCCTGCTCATATGCACGCTCTCTCTCTCTCTCTCTAACAAATGAATAAATAAAATCTTTTTTTTTTTTAAAGATTTTATTTATTTATTCATGAGAGACAGAGAGAGAGAGAGAGAGAGAGAGAGGCAGAGGGAGAAGCAGGCTCCCAAGGAGCAGGGAGCCCGATGCGGGACTCGATCCCAGCACCCTGGGATCATGACCTGAGCTGAAGGCAGACGCTCAACCATCTGAGCCACCCAGGCGCCCAATAAAATCTTTTTTAAAAAGTGTAACTTCATAAGGTAGAAAAGGCAGTTTCCAAGTTGTGTCCCTTGGGAGTCCCATGTAGTTCCAAGGCCTAGTGGAAGAAGGTAGTCATGGTTGTGAAAGGAGCAGGTACAGCAGGATTGGATAGCTCAGTCTAATCTGGGTTCGGCTACCGAGTGCAAGTTCCTGCTCTGTTCATCAGTCACAAGTTGTAAGGAGTATATATTCTTGCAGACATGGCCCCTGATTGCAGGGGGCAGGGGGCAGTGAGAGAATGTGAATGGGCAGCCTGGACACAATAGTGTCCTAGAAAAACAGCCCAGAGGACATCCTCTGTTTGTGGGATTTGGGGTATTAATTTTAGAGAGGACGAGTGTTATTAAAGAAGTTTAAGTTTTAGGAAGAGGGGGATGAAAGGAGCAGTGATTAGTTCTGAGCTACGAAACAGGCAGGTTTATACACTGTCTTGTCTCAAACTTGGGCTCTGACTGTTCAGTGAATCGGCTTGCATCTCTGCTAGTGTAGGATTACAGTTGTGAGTTTTTTTGGTTCAAGAAATTATTTGTCAGAGATTACGACAGAGTTTGAGCTTTCACACTAAGTTACTTGGCCACAAATTGTTTTCAAACGAAAACTTGTCGCAGGATGTCTTTCCTATGGAAAACACCTCTCCCTTCAGCAGTTCTTATGGAAGTCTCTCAAGTGAGGTTGAGCCATATATAAAGGCTCACATTCCCTAACAGAAATATAAGTCTATCAGTTTGATTTGGAAAACTAATTTTTCTTTGCTTTTTTGTTGAATGTATCATAAGTACACAAGGCTTTCCCGTATTTGCATTTAATGAGAGGCACTGAAAGAAGCAAAACTTTTGGTATTAATTGCCTCACCTGTGAATGACTGCAAACAAATCCTCAGTTGTACGAGGTTTGTTTGGAGACACGAACACACCTTCTGCTTCAGCCTGAGAGTCTTCACTAAGTGGTGAAATCATAGAGTCATCACTCGGTGACGATTCTTAAATGAAGAACAAAAGCATCTTTAAGAAGAAGTTACCAGGCATGCTGCTGTGTTTCACTGGCTTGTGGCATCAACAAACAACAGATACCTTACGGCTGTTTTTAAAAAGAGAGATTATCTGTCGCAGCTCAGTCCCTCAATAACAAAAAACTTTTTATCTCAGTTGTTTTAAGAAGTGAAAAAAAGATGGAGGGAAACCAACACCCAGGGCTGTACTGTGTTACGGGGAACATAAGAAAGAAAAAAACGCAATGAAGTGCCGTGAGACACCTTTCCACTGGGACAAAGGCATCAACAACTGACCTTTCAGTGAAACCTCATCCACACTTCCTTGGGTCTCCTCTGCTCCGCTGTTATCAGAGGCACTTTTGGCTGAAATACCTGAAGCAATATTTTCCTGCTCAGAACATTTTTCAGGGCATGAATTTGCAGTTGATAGCTCTGCTTCACAGCTGATATTCCCAGGCACTTTGTCATGATGGCGGCTCATCCCAAGTTGATGCTTAAGTTGACTGCTTATGTCTGTGGGTCTGGTTGGTGAGTTTGACTGAGCTGTGAGCACATCCACAGACTCAGGGTATGCAGCTTCCTCCCAGTCTGCAGAGGATGGCTTCTGCACCTGTGCTAGGGCTCCATCTGGACCAGCTCCATATTGTAGTACTTTACCATCCAAATCATTTGGGCGGGAAACAGAGACCCTCTGAAATCCTTCTGTGGGAAAGTCACAATTTTTACTTGGTGTGTTTTCCGGAATAAGCTCGCTCTCCATATGCTTTTGGTCTTTTGTGACACTTGAATCTAGAAGATTGTTACCAGCTGAGGTTGCTGTTTCTGGGTCACAATGATTCTTTACATCAAAAGTACGTTTTTTCTCTAACTGGAGTTTGTCTGGTCCCATCTCAACTGCAGAGGAGTCTAAAAAGGACAGTATGGTGTCTTCAGTGGAGTACTGACGCGATACTGATTTCTTAGCCACATGCGGCTTAATCTTACCTGGAGACAGGGCAGCCATTGTGAGAGTGCTGTCTTCTAAGTAGGGGAGATCTGTGTTGTTGCCCTCTTTTTGCTTCACTTCTTCAGACTTGCTGATGGACCTAAGGTTAACAGATTTCAGGACTGTCGGTGTAATTGCAAGGGATGGTGGAGGATTCGACCGCAGTGTTTCTCCTACTGGGTTCTGCTTACTATGAGTAAAAACATGCAGTGGGTGACGGTGGTGGAATGGTTTATTCAAGACACTATGAAGAGCACTTAGGTCAAGATGGGTAGGAGGTATAATTGGAAGTTCGAGGTCTTTACTCAGTGAAAGAGCTCCATCTTTTAAAGAGGGTTGCTGTAGTGAGGATTTCCTTTCTGGAACTTTCGGTTTTCTTTTGCTACCTCCAGGAGACAGTGGACCGGAAAAGAAAGCTGTAGGGAAAGAGGAGGTCGGTGTTTCAGACTGGCTCGAGTAGCCACTTGACGGCGACGCCAAGCCGGCCAGTTTTTCTGGTGAGGCCAGTTTAAACTCATTGTCAACAGAAGGAAGGGATGGGGTGGTGGCTCTTGATTCTGACTGGGATGTTTGGGATTCAGAGCTCTCTGGAGATTTGATGCATTCAATAACTGTGGTACCCGTAGCAGTGCTTGAATTAGATAAAGATCTGTAAGGATCATTTGTTTTCAAGTCATTGAGAAGCCAGAGATCTGCATAGTGAGTTGATTCAGCACCTTCATCTTTGAATGGTGGAGTATCTGAAGTGTCTAACTGAGGTTCCTTAATACCATGTTCACTCTGGTTCATCCAAGCAGATTCTTGCTTGGTGGGAAGGTTGGCAGTTTCCATTCGAGAAGGCGTGTTGGAGAAATCAAGAGGCAGCTTCATTTCCCTGGAACTGTGAGGCAGGAGCTGGCCACTGCTTATCTTTGGTTCTTTCTTCTCAGAAATGTCTGTGTTTCCATCGGACTTCCTCAGTGATGAACTACGTTTAGGTGGGGTCGGCTTTGCCTTTGGTTTCCTGAAAGAGATGCTAGGTCTCCCCTGCCTCCTATGGTCTAAGTAGTCCTGCCAGGCACAGTCCGGAAGAGTAGGAGGTACCCCGATGCCCTGGCCATTCTCTGGGCCCAAAGCTGCATAGTGACAGACATAACTCTTACTGCCTTTGAGACCACAGTCGAAGTGCATGGAAGTGTAGTATCCTTCTGTGTCCACTGAAAAGTGAGAGCTAGTGTCTGCTTTGTCTGATGGAGACTTTTCCAGAAAGCTGTCATAAGTGGCCATGCTTGTGAAGCTCGGGCAGCCCAGGCTGTCTGCCTTGGGGCGATCAGGACTAAAATCCTGGCGGCAGGAGGCATCGTGATGGTGGTGTAGGTAATTCCACTCACTGTCACTGGTGTTGCTGTTGTTGGGGTCATCCAGCAGATCTGCCACAGTGGAGGTAAAGGAGTTTGCCCGGTGGCCTCTCACTTTATCCATGTGGTCACTGTACTGCTCTGTCACGAAGACATTGGCATCCTCATTAGCATGAGGGGCTGTGTTGAGTGACAACTCCGAGTCACAGTGTGAAGAGCCGGTGAGGGGAGGAGAAGCTGCAGGAGGGATTGTCTCTGAGGTCTGTGAGGGGCATGTGGAGCTGCTCCCACTCCAGTTGCCACTGGATGACTGGTGGTCATCTTTCTGGTCCATGTGGCTGCTGAGGAGGACGCCAGCCGTGGAGATGCAGTGGATGGGGCTCCCAAAGGTGTCTGAGTTGGAGGAGATGTCACAGCTGCCAGAGTCAGCAGCCATTCGGGACAGACGTGACCTCCCTCTCTCATTTAACTTGTGCTGAGGGCTGTGAAGACGTTGAGAACAAGCCAGGCCCAAAGCAGGCTGGTGTTCCTGTGCACTTGGGCTGCTGGGGGCCTCACTGCAATCATTTGGGGTTCTTTCTTGGTCGCCCATGAAAGGCTCCCCCTCTTCATATGCTGAGGGTTTAGCACCAACTTTGGGCTCAGCATCCCCACCTCTGTTGCCCTCCCGGGGGAGGCTCCGAGATCTTGTACGGCTGCTCACTGCAGTAGTGAACATGCTGTCGCCTTTGTCTGCCAATGCAGAGATGTTGCCAGCAGAATGAGAAAGGGAAGCTGCAATGCTTTGACCCCTTTGAGCTCTGATTCTCCTTCTCGATGGAGCAGCAATCAGAATATCTTCAGTTTGGCACTCTGAATCCCTGGTTCCAGACCTCCTGTTGACAGTGTTGGAAGGGTCTGGATTCGTGTGCACAATCACATTCCTTTCCCTGGCCACAGGGGATTCATCAGAATCTAGGGCACACGGAAAGCACAGTGAGATATTTCATACATCAGCAGACTAACAGACATTCTGAGAGATGTCCACAAATCTGGGTGGTGGTATGTTGGATCTTTCTCTTTGAGAAAAAAAAGTCAGCATATAAAATTAGGAGAAAGTTAAAATGCTTTGGGGAATCTGTCCTTTGCCTCTCTGTCTCTGTCTCTACGTGTGTGTGTGTGTGTGTGTGTGTGTGTGTGTGTGTGTGTGTACTAAGAGAAAATGCTTTTAGATCTTTTGTGAATTCTCTCTCTTCACTATCAAATTATTTTGCCCCAATAAGTGACTACTATTTTTTTTTTAAATTAAAGTGCGTTTTGTCTTCTTGGCCTCTATTCTTTTTTATTTTGTAATATATGCCCAGCAAAATAAAACTCTTAAAATTCATTAAAAGTAATAAAAGAGATGCTATAGTAAATACTAATAATAAAACATAAGAGATTCCTAAACACATGGAACAAAAAAACAGAAAAAAAAGTCATAAAGGGTAACATGTTATCAATAGTCGGTATTTAATTGAATATGCTTAAATTTTACCTTCTTAAAATAATTAATGCCATAAAAGTATATCTCTCTTCAAGTAAAGGTATAATTTTCCCAAAATAATCTTTCATTGAATCTTGCTACTTTTTATTCCATCTTAATAAAACTTTAAAAAAATTACTTATCATTTCCATCTTAATAAAACTTTAAAAATTCCCAAAATATTACATTTCAGCCATAAGACTTGAACATGTATACCTAAATCCCTAAGGTTAAATCTTCACAGTCAAGAACAGAGATTCAAAAAGTAATACCACCCGGCTTGCTGAACACAGAACCAAGTACACGCCATTTCAAAACCTCTCCAAGTTACAACACTGACGATCTTTAAGGAAGCTGATGAAAAGGCCGGCTTCCATTTCATCTCCTTCTAATTGACACCCAACAGAATGTTAACCATTAACAGTTTTATACTACACCTATTTCTTGTTGGACTCTTCTGGGGATACCCGAGATGGTTTTCCTCCTCCTCAGTTTCCGTCTCCGCTGTAGTACGGATTGTGAATGAACAAGAGAGCAGCGTATACTAGCCTCTCTGTCAAAACCAACTCCTGCAACCCACAAATAGGTCTCATTAGCCTTTAGAAACGGCAAACAAATTTTCATTTGCTTGGAACACAGTGATATTTATTGATTGGAAGTAAAGGAAGAGTTTGGATTAAGCCCGTGAATAAATATAAGGGAGCCCTTATTCAGCTCTTATTTAAATTACTCTGCAGTACATTAAGCTTTACTTCTAAATGCAGCTCTGCACAACAGCTTGCACTGCCAAGAGTAACAAGCAAAGAAGGAAAATCAAAAGAAAGAGGAGAGAAAAATAACATCAAAGAATCACTCGCACACAGAAACAGCTCCTGAAGGACTTACAACCTTTAGTTACTTCTATTTCTGGGCTCGCTGAACCTGTCTTTGCATAGTAGTAGATCCAGAGCCAAGATGTTAACCTGAATTAGTTCAGCTAACATATCCTGACCCATTTCTTCATTAAAAGCATCTTTGTGAGGTTTTTTTTCCCTCTCTCTACCCACTGCACCCCAACCCTACACACAACCAAACACACACACACACACACACACACACACTCCTTCTGTGAGGAGAAAGTAGCCTAGAGGTTTGTTTTTAAATCATCACTGAACTCTACTTTCTTCTACTGACTCAGTTGGACACTTTTTGGTATGGCACCAGTGTCTTATCAATATAAAATAAGAATACAAGGCAGTTCTCAGTTCTCTACTTAAGTGGATCTACATTCTCTTTCAGCTGTAAATGAAGCTGGAATTCCCAGTCTTTACAATGAGGGTCCGTTTGCTTTTATAAATACAGGGGCCAAACCTTGATGCTTGTTTGTTTCTCTCTCCATAATCACATTATTGATACACTACATGCAGTCTTATCAAAACTAGAATGGTGAAGAAGGAGGTGAGGAATTCACACTCCTGTCTGGCACAGGCATGTGCCATGGATTTTTCAGAGTGAGCTTTGCCTCAGAAAGTCAGGATGCCAAAAGTGCATTGGAATCTGGTTGCCTCATCATTTATCCTGATTGTTACGCATAGAGCAGGATGGCGTGTTAAACCTCAGCTCAGCTGTAAAATGAAGCAATCTGAGTTCTGCTTAGCATCACAGTGACAACAGTTTCCAGAACTCACTTTTGAAAAAAATCTGTGAGATGTCATATGATGACTAATTATAATATTATTGGAGAATTCATACTAATGGAATTTTCCTTTCTTAGCTCCAGCCAAAAATTAAGATCTTTCATTCTACTCATAATAATTATAGAACACATGGCACACAGACACACTTTATGTTATATGGACATAATTAGCAGCTTTTTCATTAAAGCTCTTGAAATCAACATATAATCTGGGCTTTAGTCTGAGAGTTCCTGAAATAAAGCAGAAGGAAAGATCTTCCCTTTTCCTGAATCACAAGACCCATAATCAAAGAACTAAATTTGAAAACAAGATTTACTTACAGTGCTATGAAGAAAGCAGGTGCTGCTTGTAATCAAATGTTCCCAGAAGGGAAAGTTAGTTTAAGAGGATGCCAAAATGATACATTTTGACATCTACCTAACCCAGCCCATTTAGATTATGGAGATCAGATAAAGTATGCATCCTTAGAATAATTTATCCTGCAAGTTGAGTAAGTCATCAGGAAAATTACTCCTAGCTCATAACGAGCTGATCAACCAGAATTCCTGTTTTTCAGGAAGGAAATAATATCTGTCCTGGATATCTGGTCATTTGCTCTCCACTTTATGTGAGAGAAATCTGAGTGGAATTAATAATAGCCATGTCCAAAATGCATCTTGAGTGACATGCATCCTGTAGTCACATGGTACCAGGATAAAAGTAGTAATGTGGCCATTGTGAAATTTTCAATATACAAATAAATTAAAATATAACTATTAGAGATGTTTAAAGAAAGCCCAATGGATAGATCATTTTCTGTCTGTCTTTGAAAGTGAGAATATTTCATAACATCATTTCACTTACAGCTAAGATTACCAGGTCCCATCCTGGAATCTACAGTCTCTACAGGTAAACTTTTCAAGAAAAGTCTGGACAGGCTTCGTTCGACCTAGACTAATATTCAAACTCTCAGTACACAAGAAGAGGAAAACAGAGAGGAATGTAAGCCAGGCTAGCTGGATTAGAATAGAATTCAGCCTTCATCTTTGAATCCACATATTTTTAGTTCAGAAATCACCATAATCGATGCAGAAACCTAAACGATCTTTTAAACAAGCCTACCTTTATCCAAAGAAGCCTGAAAACAGATTTTATAGTTGGTCTACGGGATCATTACTTGCAGTTTGAGAGACCTGGGGTTTGCTGTTTTCTTTCTTGCTGTGCCATGCATCATTATCATATGACTAATCACTGCCGCTTTCTCCATTATTTCAGTCAGCTATGACCAAAGAGCTATTTGGTGACTTTTTTCAAAAAGAAACTGTCCATCATTTACATAACAAGCGGCCCAGCAGAACATATGCAAATGTATGTTCAAAACCTGACAAAAGCATATTGAACATCTTCTGGGTTGTATTCTGATGAAAAAGGTATTGCTTGTTTACAAAGCGGTATTCTTAACTGGTCCGCCCAGCAGCACAGGTTTTGAACACATTTAAAACACAATATTGTACCCCTAAGAAAAGAACAGAACGGTACCAGTGACATTGATGGGAATAATGCAGGAAGAAATCACTTGGGCATCTTGTTTCATCTTCTCCTCTGGTGTTGGGAGAGGCAGTGCTTTGCTCCAGTTGGTCTGCTTGTCCAGCGTGGAGGGGATATTGTGTACTGGGTTTTTCGGCCTCTGCCCTAACATGACATCTGTATCTTCATCCTCCGGGGGATGGGACTGCAAATGAAGTACATTCAGACTTAGCCAGAATGGTTTATATGTGAGCACACATATTGAGGAATTTCGCAGTTAAGAACAGTGAGGTCAGAAATAAGCTTTTAGGTCAAAGGAAGAAGTCCTAGAAATAGTTAGTAAGCGCCAATAATTGAAAGTTATAATTTCAATAGTCAAGCGACACAAAAGAAAAAATGGACTTAATAAACATGCTTTTCAGGTTAAATGGAATTAAGAGGAGAGACAAGGTAGCCATAGGACCCCAACTTCAAAACTGAAGAAAAATCTTAGTCTTTAATCCAGTGACAGGTAGATTCTGGATATCCATATATTGCTAATGAAAGTCTCGAGAGCTCTAGATGACTGGGATCAAAGGGCGAAGATGATTTAGATGCCTATGAAAGGTTCAGAAAACGTGCCAGAAAACCTGGAGTCAGGAAACATTCCAGAACACATCACCAGAAGGACAAGCCTATCTAATCTGAGAGGCTGGCTTAAATCACAAGGAGTTAATTTTACTGCAGGACTGTGGTTTTTGTGAATAACATTTCAAAAATGCAGTTTCATCAACACTGTGTGCACATGGAAAAGCAGCTCCCCTCCCCCACTTACTATAGTGGAAAATACAAAAGCAGTTAATGGAGAGAAAGATTCAAGAGTTTCTTTTTCAAATTCGGAAGAGTAAAGGGTCTTCATTTCTTTCAGCTTTTGCAGTGGGAAGCTTTTCTTCTAGTTGTGGAGTTAGAGGCCTTGACTTCTGTATGACATTTGAAAATTCTCCATCCAAGCCCTTGATAGATATTAATATTATCTGCCTTTTATTTCAGGGCAGGGCTCCTAACCCAGATTATTAAAAAGCCTCCATTCCAATTTTGATTTCAGGGTTGGGCTTCTAAACCAGATTATTAAAAGACCCAGTTTTCACCACTGACCCTAGTTTTCTTTCTTTCCATAATTTGGAGGAAGGTGAGTGTTTGTATAAAATAAATATTTTTCCCTCTTACTCCAGTTAAGTTTTAACTGGAGTAAACTCCTAAAGTCATGAAAAAATTTCTCATCCTCACCTTTGGAAGCATCATGTCCTGCTGACTCAGGATTTCACATATTGTCAAACTGTTCTCAGGTCCTCTTACAAGATTCCAGAGCCACTTGTTTAAGTTAACCCCCCAGCTTTTGCTTACCTTGTCAGAGGTATCTGCAAAGCCCCCCAACACACCCAACAGGATATGATTCCCCCCCTTGAGAAAAATGTGTTCGCCATGAACATTTTAGTAAAACATTGCAACCTTCTTTCTCTCTCCAGCTTTTGTGCAGATTCCCAGTGAAGCGAATAGCTCAAATAAAGTTGGAGCACAAAAGACTTTGTTTCCTAGGTAACTTCCAAAAAGAAAAAAAAAAAGTTTGGTGCATGCAAAAAGAGAGACAGAAAAAGAAGGAGAAAGAGCAGGAGCTGGAGAGAAACCCCCACCACCAGAGGCCACATTTTGTAGGCGATTCCTTCCTTGAATAACAATGGACTGAGAAACAAAGAAAGAATAGTGACCTGACTAAAGGCTCTGACCAGCAGCCAAAAGCACGTTTTATTTAATGGCGACAGGGACGACTGGCTGCCAGAGAATCCTTTTGTTCTATTCTCTTTTTTGATTTGAGAAACCGAACCTGTATTTACAGTTCTGATAAATATAGGGCAAAGTTGGAATCACTTTCCTTTGAACTATAAGGTCCAGGAGTGGCATTAGGTGATGCCCATCTTGAACAGAGCCTTAATTGCAATTTAGGGGGGGAAAGTAAGTGGGAAAGAAAGCCAATGACATGGCTGTCTAAATGATATTTAATTCAAGTTAGGAAAATATCACTCTTGAAGGAGATTTAGAAGAATACCTGTTAGTTAGAAACAACAGAGTTTGCCATAGTTAAAAGAGAGAAGAAAGTGTCTGGAGAGAATGGGATAGGGCTGTGATGGAATGTTCTCAGAACCAGTACCTTTCTACTCCATGGGGTCATGTGGCAACACTCAGTGGGGGAGGGCGAACGGGTGCTGTTAAACTATGAACATGAAATGCAAAAAAAGGAAAAATTAAAAACATGTACACAACACACAGTACGTCCTGGTTAAGCCAAATCTAAAACATTAATGAATGAATATACTGGGATGACTCCCTCCCTTCCTTCCCTCCGTATCTGTCCTTATTTTATGAGAAATAGCATAAAAAATAGTGGCTAAGAGCACGGACTTTGGAGCTCAACTGTCTGAGTTCAAATCCTGGTTCTACCATTTATTTGCTCTGTGACCAGGGACAGTTACTCAGCCTTTCTAAGGTCAGTTTCCTCATCTGTAAGTTAGGGCAATAATAGCATCTGTCCATCCTCCAGGGCTGTTTTGAGGATTAAATGAGCAAGTCGACAGAATAGACTGTGAAGAATGGTGGCACTTAATAAGCTCTGTACGTTTGTCAGCTACTACCCCTGCTGCTGCTACTATTATTATTACCCTTACCTTGTAGCTGTGCCATATCTGTGACATTGACTTTGCAAATGGTAACTTTCCTTTAGATCCCAGTCCCATTTGTTAATTTGGGAAAGACTGAATTCGTCTCTTTCCTTAGAGTGAGTTTATTTTCCTGTGAACTACTTGGAAGAAAATTCCCTGTGTGCACTTTCTTCATCCAGGCTGCTTAAAATTTGCCTCTTCCTCATATTCATAGACCGTATTTGAAGATAGGGCTGGGTTCAAGGGCATGTGACAGAGCCCCACACTCAGAAGGACACCATGCTTTTTTGAGTAAGGGGCCCTGCACCTTCATTTTGCACTGGGCCCCACAAATGATGTAGCCCATCCTGTTTGGAGAATAATCAGGTAACTAGAATCCCCTTTTCAGGATCTACTGAGAAGGACATTGAAACTGTCTTAAACTCTAAACCATGTCAGCTGTGGATTCAATTAGGCCTCTGTTATAGCACTTTCCATATAGCATTGCTTTAACGTAACCTGAATTCTTCCTGGATGTGTCTTTTTCTTCTATTAGATTATGAGTTCTTAGGGGTCAGGAGCCATATTTGATTTTCTTTTCAGTTTTCCATGATGCCAGCAAAATGCCTCCTCATCGTAGGAGTTCAACAAATTATTGGTACACTGGAATGATATGAGCCCTGTGTGTTTTAGCAGTGTTGGGAAACCCCAAAAAAGTAAGGTTTGTCCTCAAGATATCAGGAGGAAGCAGACACCACAGAATCCAAGGGTACTGACCATCTTAATGCAAGTAGGTGAAAACAAATAGAGGAAAACACAAGCAACGTTTGGTTCCATCAGAGGCTCAGTATTAATATATTCCAGTTCTAAATATTCTTAAGCCTATGGCAGACATCTGTTTTGGAGGTGGAACACTCAAGGTCTAATTCTATTCTAAGTTTCTAAATTTTAAGTGACAGGGTTGCTCATTAATTTTTAAGCAAAGCAAATGCCATTTCCTCAGGCCCAGTTGACTTTGATCTAGATGTTATTTAAGACAAATGATTTTCTAGGGTCTATGGCTCCCTCACTGAAAATGATCATTTTGACAGATGTGCTGTATGTGGCCTGAGTTCAGACATTAACCTGGCTCTCTCCTAAGAATCAGTCACAGATAGTCATGTGTAGGTCTCAAGTAAGACCCCGGGGTATGCAAAGTAGAGAGCAAACTCATGGAAGCAGGAGAAAGGGAGCCCGAAAGCAAAGTCTGTATGGTAAAGGAACCTGTTTCCAAGAAACCAAAGGCTCTGGTGTCTCATGAAAGGATTTAAAAAATTACACAGCAGAAAACTGCAGGGCATAAAACATATTAATGATACTAATATTAATATATTAATTCTGGTAGTTTGTCTTTAATCTTTTTTTATGATTTTTTATTGTTATGTTAATCACCACACATTACATCATTAGTTGATGTAGTGTTCCGTGATTCATTGTTTGTGTATAACACCCAGTGCTCCATTCAGTACGTGCCCTCTTTAATACCCATCACCAAGCTAACCTATCCCCCCACGCCCTCCCCTCTAGAACCCTCACTTTGTTTCTCAGAGTCCATAGTCTCTCATGGTTCGTCTCCCCCTTCGATTTCTCCCCCCCCTTCATTTTTCCCTTCCTGTTATCTTCTTTTTTTTTTTTAAACATATAATGTATTATTTGTTTCAGAGGTACAGGTCTGTGATTCAACAGTCTTACACAATTCACAGCGCTCACCATAGCACATACCCTCCCCAATGTCTATCACCCAGCCACCCCATCCCTCCCACCCCACCACCACTCCAGCAACCCTCAGTTTGTTTCCTGAGATTAAGAATTTCTCGTATCAGTGAGATCATATGATACATGTCTTTCTCTGATTGACTTATTTCGCTCAGCATAATACCCTCCAGTTCCATCCATGTCATTGCAAATGGCAAGATTTCATTCCTTTTGATGGCTGCATAATATTCCATTGTATATATATACCGCTTCTTCTTTATCCATTCATCTGTTGATGGACATCTTGGCTCTTTCCATAGTTTGGCTATTGTGGACATTGCTGCTATAAACATCAGGGTGCACGTAGCCCTTCGGATCCCTACATTTGTATCTTTGGGGTAAATACCCAGGAGTGCAATTGCTGGGTCATAGGGTAGCTCTATTTTCAACTGTTTGAGGAACCTCCATACTGTTTTCCAGAGTGGCTGCACCAGCTTGCATTCCCACCAACAGTGTAGGAGTGTTCCCCTTTCTCCGCATCCCCGCCAACATCTGTTGTTTCCTGACTTGTTAATTTTAGCCATTCTGACTGGTGTGAGGTGGTTTCTCATTGAGGTTTTGATTTGGATTTCCCTGATGCAGAGCGATGTTGAACACTTTTTCATGTGTCTGTTGGCCATTTGGATGTCTTCTTTGGAAAAATGTCTGTTCATGTCTTCTGCCCATTTCTTGATTGGATTGTTTGTTCTTTGGGTGTTGAGTTTGATAAGTTCTTTATAGATTTTGGATACTAGCCCTTTATCTGATATGTCATTTGCAAATATCTTCTCCCATTCTGTTGGTTGTCTTTTGGTTTTGTTGACTGTTTCTTTTGCTGTGCAAAAGCTTTTTATCTTGAAGTCCCAATAGTTCATGTTTGCCCTTGCTTCCCTTGCCTTTGGCAATGTCTAGGAAGAAGCTGCTGTGGCTGAGGTCGAAGAGGTTGCTGCCTGTGTTCTCCTTTAGGATTTTGATGGACTCTTGTCTCACATTTAGGTCTTTCAACCATTTGGAGTCTATTTTTGTGTGTGGTGTAAGGAAATGGTCCAGTTTCGTTCTTCTGCATGTGGCTGTCCAATTTTTCTTTAATCTTCTAAGTCAGCTCTCCTATTGAGTATTTTTTCCAGGAGTGAGGGATGAGGAGTGGTTTTTAGTTTTCATCAGTTTGAGAACCACCCCCCCCCCATGCCATTAAATAAGTACGAGATAACATTTGGAAATGACTAAGGACGGCAAGTCCAGAGAGAGACTGTTCTTTTTTGGTCAACCATTGTTAAGTCAGGGTCTCTGTAGGTTACACTCCACTGAAAATTCCTTCTCAGCTAATCCGCCTCTCCACTATTTTGATAGGAGCTCCAACCTCCAGCTTGTGAAGGCTGAAACTAGGTACTCTGGAGCTTGTGTGTGGAAGGACTTTGTTCTTTGGTTCTACCACCACAACAGAAGCACTTGAGCTCCTCTAAATGATCTGTTGATTTAGAGTAGTTAAGCTTATAATCTTGAAATGGACTTTAGTTTTATTTCTGCCATGAAATTAGTAACTGCTTAAGTGTAGTGTTTTAAAGCATTTCTTTCCTGGGTGTTTGGTCAAAAGAAGTAAAATAGTTCTGATTATTTCTGATTAGACTTTTATATGGTGAATGCAATAATCAGTTCCTAGAATTTTTTTCTAAAATTACCTAAGAAATAAAACTGAAAGAGAACTGCTACCTCAGGGCATCTCTGCATGGCCCAGCATGCCACTCCTTAACCAGTGCGCATGGATAAGGTGAGGAAAAGCTGCATGCTGATCAGACTTGTATGAATTAAATTATCCTTTAAGGACTCTATTTAAATGAATCCTTTTGCTTATTCTTAGTAAGACCTGTAAGGGCAGAAACCATTTCTTGTTCCTAACTGTATTCCTACTGCCTTGGTAATGCTTAAATAAAATTTGTTGTCCTGGCAGCTAGCACCCCCATGTGCCTAGCATAAGCAAACAAAAATCCTCTCAAAAGAAATAATATCAGATGATCTCCACAGATAATCTTTCAGTACAACATCCAGCACAAAGTCAAAGATAACAAGGCAAGGAGGAGATGAGATGGCATGAGCAAGGAGCATCCCAAACAATAGGTAAAACAGAAGCGGATTCGTAGGACGCTCCTGCTTTTGGAATTACACTGCACACAGGAGTAGCAGTGAACAGCCTTGGCTTCCCCAGAAGAAGTGTGTGGGAAGCCTCTTAGACCACTCATTGATTCATTCAAGAACATTTCTCTGAAGGTCAAAATCAGCCCCCGGGGGAAACAAATTGTCACCTGAAAAATGGTATTTCTTTCATCACTATACAGTTCTTTTGGCTTTTCTGTACTTTCAGATTTTTTCATAATGTTGGAGAAAAACACACACATAAAAATTTCTCTTTCTTTTTCCAGGCTCCCATTCTGGCCCTCCTACCCCTGATTTTGAGAGGCCTTAGCCTCCAAGATGCACCATTTTAGAATCATCCACCACTAGTCTTGCGCATCCTGTTCCTGACAAAAGATGCTTCTTTGATGCTTTCACCCCATTTCTGTCCCTGCTGGCCCATAATTTACACTCTCAGATCCTTTCCCTACCTGCCCATGAAACTGAGTCAACGAAAGTTAGAGTTACATACTTACAGTCAGTGTTCAGAACAAGAAATAACACATTATTAATTTCTTCACTTTTGTGGCTATGAACAAGCATTTCTCCAAACATCTCAAGATTTTTCCCAACCTTTCTCTTATTGCCAAAAGAAAAATATAATCCCTCCACATTTTACTTCTTTTGGGTTTTA